CTAGTTCGATTAAAGGTAATAACTAATTGGGAAAAACGGTCTTGAACCGGTTCGGTTCGACTGATTTGCAGCCCTGGTTTCTATATAAACAACTGTGAAGAGCATAGAACTGTGGAGCTCGAGCTGAAGCCACATCTTCAGCCCATGCTTGGGGCAATTTCTCAGACAGACACAAGAACTGGCTAAGCCCTGAGCAGACTTTATACGCTCGTGTATACTCTTTAGCTGGGTCGCCCGAATGCCGCATGAGCTTGAGGAGTTGTTCAGCTTACCTTTTGCTTCTTGAAGCAGAGCTCCTCGCTGAGCTGCTCCTCCAGTTGGCGATTGTCGCCATTCGAGAGCGAAATTTCTGCCACTTCCAGGTCATTGGCATCGCATTTATCCTCATTATTTTCAGGTGCTGTCGTCCCTTCCGGCTGCAGCTGCTCCCTGCCAGCCGCAGAATTGGACAGAGCTGTGTGTGTGTGTGTTTGTGTGTGGGGTGGAATATGCAAAGTGTGCCATTAGAAAAATTTAATTACTGTAACCTCGGCCATAACTTTCGAGCCGGCACCTTCATACTCGCCATGTGGCTCGTCCTCCTCGGCTGTCGACAGTTCCGCCTGCTGCCCATCGATTTGCTGCTCCTGCTGCTGCTGTTGTTGCTCCTGTTGATGCAGCTTAAATGTGGGCAGCAGCTCGGCCAGCTGCTTGGTCACCGCGTCCAGGGTCGATTGTATGGTCGAGGGCAGCGTGGAGAGGGCCGCGAGCTGTTTTTGCACATCGGCCAGTTGTTTTTCCAGTGCCAGTTCCTCATCGGTTTTGGGCGGAGTTGCCGCATCGGCCTCGGGCTGCAGCTCGTTAGGCTCAGCCGGGGCTGTTTGTTTAGCTGCCTCTTGCTCCTCCTCCCCTGCCTCGGCCTCTTCGGACACCTCTTTGGACGCATCCGCTTTCTCTAACTGCTCGCCTTCCGTTTCCTCGGGCGCGTCCTCCTTGTTGTTGCTGGTGTTGCCATTGTCTGGCAATTGTTCCAGGTTCGGCACTTCGCTGTCCGTGGGCAGCGGCTCCTCCTCTGGCTGCTCCACTGGTTGCTCGACCTGCGCCTCCTCCTGCGGCGGTGGGGTCACTTCCTTTGGCGCTGGCGGAGCTTCCGGCTGTCACAGGCTTAAGTTGGTGCCTGTTCAGTGTCTTTTTTTTATTTCATGCAACGCTACTCACCATGGGCGATTTGTCGCGTGGCGCCGACTTGACTATCTTCACCTTGTAGGCATTGGCCTTGTGCCGTTCCGCCTCCAGCTGTTGCTTGCTCTTGGGCACCGGACGATCGGGTCGCTGCAGGAACGTCGACCATTTGCGATTCTCCTTCTCCTTTTCCAGCTTCGTTTTGGTCACCTCCTCGTTGAGGGAGCGCAGCACATCGCTGGTCATGCAGACGCCCGGCTTGGGAAAGATTCTATAGAAATTAACGCTATGATATTGATGCAGGTTAAGGTCGCTCCATGTCGGTGGCAGCAACAGCTGCTGTCAACGCACCCAAGCACATTGTGCTCCTTTAGGACCTCTGATTCGCCGGACAGCACAGCGGCAATTTCCTCTTCCACCAACTTAATTTCCGTCTGCTCCGACATCGCTGAGCACGGACGATCGGGCAAATCGGGCAAATAAAGGCTATCCACGTGTATGCCCCCATGCTGCTGCTCCCGTTCCTGCTCCTGCCTCTGCTCCTGCTCGACGTTGTTGTCGTTGCCATGCGAATGCATTTCCGTCATTGCGCTACGACATACCAGCTCCACATTCGCCTCCAGTTGCGCAATCTCGACCTGTTCCTGTTCCGGAATGAGCGCTTTTGTGGCTTCCGTTAACGACGGCAGCGGCGATGCGGATGCGGTTGGCGACTGCCCAGGCGTTGGTGACTTGGTCAACGAACTCGCACTCAATGGGAACCTCTTGGGGCCATCGTAGGGCGCCTCCTCCTCGCGTTCGCTGCCAGGCAAACGTGTCAGCTGAAGGGTTAAGCCTAATGATAAATGGCCAATTGGGGCCGTCGGACTTACCGATGGACGCCAAAGTAGAAGACGCTGCCGCTGCTCATGATTAGGCGATGGGCCTCGTCATGGGTTAGGGGCGTGGCAGCCGTGTCATTGATACGCACAATCACATCCTCGACGCACAGGCCCGCCTCCTCGGCGATGCTGCCCTCCGCGACCTGTCGTACATGGAGACAGCGAACAAGAGAGAGAACGGGAGAAAGATAGAGATAGAGAGAGAGCGTGAGAGATATAGAGAAAGATACGGAAAGTGTTGCAGATACAAAATCAATTATCTGGCGTCGCGCGTGCAAAGTGCATATAAATAAAATGCGCGCAAAATGTCAACAAAAACACAAATGGAAAGAACAGAATCGGTGCGGGGCGTGGCGGGTCGGGGCGAGGTGCTGCGGCAAATGCCTCGACCAAGACAATGCCACTGTATGTGGCACGCTGCATGCGGGTTGCTTTATAAATTAATACATCACGGATAATAAAAGTTTTTTACAATCAGTTTATAAGCATGTTGCCCCCCCCCCCCCCCCCCCCCCTCACCCTTTCACCAACTATTCAGCTCATAAAAGTTGCTGAAGTTTTATAATTTTCAAACCAAACACAAAATTGTTTAATGGACTTTGTTTTTGAGTGTTGGAAAATGTCGTTATTAGAGTAGACGTTAATTAAACTTTACCAGAATTTTTAAGTGTTATATACTTATATCGAGTACGTTGAAAAATAGGGAATATGAGAGATAAATGTGTAAAACATAATTTACATTTTATCTAATCTAATCTATATAGCATTAAAGAAATTTGTAGATGCAATATGAGAGATATATGTATATATAAGTAGAAAATATTTAGATAAATTATTATTTTGGAATAATTGAAAGTATTTAAAATAATTTTATATGCAACAGGAGAGATATAAGGGTAGAAAATATTTTAGATACATTAATATTATGGAAAAATTGAGAAGCCCATTTTAAATGTTGTTATTAATTTCAAAAATGTTTTCAAATATAATAGAAAGCTAGTTTAATAGAACTCTTTACTGCCCACAAAGGGCTTTTAGATCAACATCATATTAATTTAGCAAAATGAGGCTGTTTAAGCTAACTTTTTTGTTTTCGTTTAGCAAATGAATTGAAAAACTCCTTTATAGAGGTGTTGACAACATTTAAACATTTTTTATACACGCTTTTAGGGAATTGAAAATAGTTTGAATAGTATTTTTCCTATCAGCTTCTCTATGTCAATCAACCCTCGCACGCATTTGCATGTGTCTTTCTATCTGTGTGTCGCTGTATGCCAATTAAAATAAGAGTGTTGTCGTATGCGCTCGACTAGCAGATACCCTAAAGCCAGCGCCGTGCAGCGGTGCTTGCTTGACTTCGGTGTTTGTGGTCCGATTTTTACGATATATTCTGGTTCTAAAGTTGGCAAACAAATCTATGTAATTACTAAAGCGCAAGGTTCTATCCTTAAAAATCAGTATTCTATTACCAAGACATCAACTTACGGAATAGGGGAATAGCTATACAAAAAGTAAGATATTCTTAATCGATTTGGAGACATGTTTGTCAATATAACTGTTAAATTATAAGAGTTAGATAGACCAAACTTGCTGTGTCGGCTCTCGGATAGTAACTAATAGTAGTATTTCCCAGTTTTAATTGAAAACAGATCTGCAAATCGATATTTATCGATATGTGATAATGAGAGGAGACATCGAAACAAATGATATCCTCCTTCTGCTTATGATGGGAGAATATATTAGAATATATACTCCAAATTAGAATCGACTCCGACCTTTTGGGTTGAGAGACGCTTTCTTCAGCCTGTTGCATACTTATGCACAAAACCAATATACCCGCTTTATACATTGTTAATGCGTTCGTTGTATAAAATTGCAATTTGTTGCTATTTTTGCAAATAGTTGATTATTTATGTTGTTGTTGCCGCTTTTGTTGCTGCTGCTTTTCAACACATTTGCTAATTCGTCGAGCGATGATAAATCGCAGATGAGACACAATTAAAATTGAAATAAATTTATTGCATTCACATTATGCGGCTCATTAGCAGAAAAATGCATTGCGCCCAGACGATTAGACAAATAGCCGCAACGATGTACTCTCTGCGCCGAGTTTACTTTAATTAACAAAATTCGCAAATAAGCCCAAAAGCAACAGGCAGCAAATGCGAACGCGAATGCGAATGCAAATTGCAACTGCAAATAAATAAACACACGCACTGAGTTACATAATTGGCTCGAACGTTGAAATATTTGCAATTAATTTGCGGCACATTGTTGCAAAACTGAATATGCAACAATAATTGCAATGTGGCAGGCAGCCTGGCAGGTGGGCGGACGGTCAACTGCGGCTGCCTTTGTTGTGGCTGCGCTCAGGTAGCTTTGGCTCGCACACAAAGGTGACTGCAGTTGATTATTATCACTATCACTATTATTATTACTATAACTATTATTAAACTTGCGGACGTGGCTAACCTTAACCACAGTCAGTGGATAATCGTAGTCGGCGCCACCGACAAGCCGGAAGCCCCACGGCACATTATCAAAGCGACACATTTTAATATCGATCACCATTTTTGAACTCTTGAATAACAACTGCGACGGCGACTGCGACTGCAACTGCAACTGCGACCGTTTGCTGCAACGTTGGCGACCAACTGTTGACTCGATTGTATTTTCCACAATCGACAATTTAACTTCGAACTATCGATTGCCAGCGGCAGCGGCAACAGCCACAGATCGAAGCGCTTTGGCACATTGCCGCCAGCCGAATGAAGCATACTTTTCAGCTCTAAAATTACACACGCACACACATGCATGCTAATGAAGCTGCCACGCACACCCACACACACACACTGGCTGCCTCTCTGTGTGGCAGCAGAGGTAATCCTTAGGGACAGCCGTCACAGCCTTTTAGTGTTAAGTCGCAGGCAGCTGCCTTGGGGAGAGTGTGCGTGTGTGTGCGTGGGTTGGGTGTGAGTTGTTGTTGTTTTTAGGCATGCTTTGCCGTGGCATGCCCCAATATGTATGCCAAATGTGTATGCAACCAAAAAGTGCATTGAACCGCCGCAATGCTGGGCATGTTGCTGCTGCCACTGCATGTGGCATGTTGCATGTGGCATGTGGCATGTGGTAGCGCGCACACGTATAAATAGCGGCCGTTGCCAGCAGCATTCAGGCAAAACGCTCGCAACAGGCCCGCCCGCAATATGTTGGACAATAGCGCATCTCATGCACCTGCCAGAGGCCAGCGCCAATTGCTGATGCTGCTGCTGCTGCTGCTGATAGCACTGGGCAGCAGCTGTTGCCACGCCGCCGCCGCCGCCGACGGCTTCAGCGTCGCCCATTTGCTGCGAGAGGGCAAACACAAGCTGTGCGGCCAGGCGCTGAACGATGCAATGGACATGGTCTGTGTGAATGGCTACAATACCATACCGAAAAAGCGATTGGAGTCGCCACCGGAAATGGGCATCGATGCGGACCAGTTGCAATTACGGCCAGGTGCTGGCTATGCGCTGAGTCCATTGCTGTCCAGCATTTATGGCGCCGAGGTGCTCATCAAGACGCGACGCCTCCGGCGGCAGGCTGGCGGTGGCATCTATGATGAATGCTGTCGCAATGCCTGCACCTATCCGGAACTCTTGTCCTATTGTCGCCAATAAAGGACACACACACACGCACGCACGCACACACACGCACGCACGCAGACACACGCATACACACATATACGTTATACTCATACTCGCGATACTGTACTCGTAAACGTAATCATAATCGTAATCATAATCGTTATCGTAATCACTTATTTATGCAGCACAAAATTTAGCTAATGAATAAAAGTAAAACTGTGCAAAAAGTTTCACGGCTCAGCAGAAAGCTAAAGCAAAAGTTACTGACGAAATTTCCATTCCGACCCATTCACACGGCACAAGAGAAACCACCTATTTCCTGCTCCACAGCCTACACCGCCAGCAACACCTGCCCCCCAAGACCCCATCCCCTCCCGCAAAGACAGCAGCTAAATGACTAACTTCAGCTTCAGCTGGTTGTTAGCAGCGTTTCTGCCGCTCCTGTGGATGCCAGATGAGGCCAACGCCCGCATCGGTAAGTAAAGACAGAACAAGGAAACTGCTAGAAATCAAGCTGCATGACTCTAAGCTACCCTGTGTTAAATCTATTTAAAAAATATGTGTATATGTGCTCACAGCCTGGACTGCAAGCCCAAAGAAAAATGGTCTCTGTGGCTCGGTTAACGATTTGAGCCAACTCTCTGCCCTGTGGTTCACCTCGTTCACCTGCTTGTTTTCTATTTCTATTTAATATTTATTTTATTTTACAATCTTTATTAGAAACAAAGCAATTGGTCTTGTTCCCTTCATTTCAGGCCTAGTGACAAGATTCAAACCAACTTCCTGCATTCGTTTCGTGAACCTTGTACATATTTTAACAGCTACCCAAAGAGCCTGAAATGAAAACTTTGTCTGGAATAATATTTATTTTGTTTCACACTTAAATATGAATAAAACAAATTGTTATGTTGTCACGCTGGTTCGATCCTTAAATCTTATGCCTAGTGAAGAGATTCGTTCCAACTTTCTTCCCTTTTATTGCGGCTTGTGAACATAGTTTAATATTTAAATAGTTTAATATGAAATAAAGGCTTTGTCGTAAGCAATATTTATTTTGCATTACATTTTCAAATAAACTTAAAAACAATTTGGTTCGTTGTCAGATGGCTTAATCCCTACATTAAGAAAAAAGGTTTGAACAAACCTTCTGCCTTGAGGCTCGGCTCGTGATTCTAGTTCAGTTTAAAAAGATAGATAGTTCCACTTTAAATAAATGCCTAAAAATCCATAAATGAAAACTTTGTGTTACATTATTATATAAATACACATGTATGCTGATTATAATGTTATTTGTTGTCCAGGGTTTCGATCCTTATACTTTATAATCTATCCCAACCTCCTGCTTTCAGGTACGGTTTGTGAACTTGTTTTTAATTTGAATAAATATTCAAAGACTCCGAAATGAAACATTGTGTTGAATTATATTTGTAGTATAAATTAAAAAAAATTATTTTCTTGTCACGTGCGGCTCGATCCCTATATTCAATGCTCATTAAGAAGAGTTTAACCCAACTTCCTGCCTTGCGGTTCGATTCGTGAACCTGGTTTTCCAGGATTTTCATATATTTTCAATATTTGAGCGAGAGATTTTTATTTTTAATTTACAATTGCACGTTGTACTGAAAATATTGCAAGCCGTAGATATTTTCATATACAAAATGCGGGCTAGATTTGTTGGATATCCCAAATATGGTTGGGGCCCAAGTTGTTAATGCTTTGCTGCTGGCTCTTCAATAAGATTAAAATCAAACCATTTTTAAAGAAAACTATGCTGCGAATCGGGCTTAACTCTTCGTTATTCTCTAATTTCTAGTCTCGAGCCGGTAAGACTCAATGCTAACTTGATAAAAACAATGCAATGAAATTAAATTACCTAAATATGACTTGGCTTAATGCGCTTCACCCCACAATTGTTCTTTTGTTTGTTTTCCTTTGGCAAACACATGAATATAGGTTCTAATGCATAGGGGAAATCTACAGCTTCTTTTTACACATTTGTTTGTTCGTTTTTGTTTTTGTTTGAAATCTCTCCCCAGAGGGACAAACATTAAATTTTGTGATAATGGGTACATTGGATTGTGCGTTAGATTGAGACTGAGTTTTTAGCAGATGCTGCTGCTAGTTGGGGCAGGGGTAGAAAAGTGGAAAAGTAGAATGGTAGTGTTATGGACTTGGACAAATTATTGTAGCTGGTTGGCAGTAGAAACTAACTACAAATAGAGTGACCCCCCTTTGGGGGTTGGGCTACAGGGTATGTTGGCTGAAACAACTCATTTGGTATTCATAAATGCAGGTTCGCAAACGCCAGAACCTTGCGTTGTCCTTTAACGCCCAAATTGTTTAATTGGCTGACAAAGACGCAAGACAAACCCCCCTCCAAAACGAGCTAGTGTGCCCCACGCATAGGAATGCCGCCCACACGGCGAGTGGGGCGAAATTTGCATAAGCCAACGAAAAGTGAACGCTGACATTGAACGAATTTAGCAAGCAGCTACTCGAGAATGCACTCAACTTGTCCCAATAACCTTTAACACAATTTGACACCAATGTAGTTGGACTTGCCACATGCCCCACCCCAGCGGGTGCCCGATATGCCATTAACGGTATATAAGCGTGCGGCAGCGAGTGTGCCAGCATCAGTTCCATAGCGTAGCCTAATCCCAGTACAATGTGCAAGTCAATTTCCGTGTCGCTCGCATTCCTGTTCGCCATCTGCGTCCTGGCAGCTGCCAGTTCGCACGGCGAGATGCGCCTGTGCAGCGTTCGGCTGAACGACATGCTGAGCACGCTCTGTGACAAAGGATTCAATCGCCTGATTCCCCAGAAACGCAACTCGCGTAAGTATACGCATCTGCAGGGTGTTCGCAGTAGCTAATCCTTTGTCAATTTGTTGATGTGCTGCAGGCCTCATGGACCTGGACCCACTCGATCCCATTCAGTATATCGAGGAGAAGGAAATGCCCTCGTCATCCGCCGAGCTCCTTACCTATCCCATGGCCAATTCGCGCCTGCGCAACATCTACCAGGAGAATGTTCTCAACTCGCTGACCGCCACCCGGCGTCGCACCCGTGAGGGCATCGTCGACGAGTGCTGCAGAAGGTCCTGCAAACTCAATGAATTAATGGCTTACTGCGCCGCCTAGATTTTCGGCATAGAACTTGCCCACACTTCAAGCACCGCGATCAGAGTACATTTTGGAACATAGACAGAACCTTGAATTTCTACTCCCTCTATATTGTATTTACTTTGTGCAATCCACAAGTTGTATTTATATTATAAATGCTTAAAATAAAAACCAGCTGCATAAACAAATTCTGACATAGAAAATCGGAAGCTTATACATATAATATATATAATAATTCGGCATATGTCTGAAGAGAACTTAGCTCGAAACTTAGGAAGACTGTGCTTCAGTAAGTGTAGAGCTCCGATAAACCGTTGAAGCCTTATCTTTGTTCCTAATTAAAGGTAAAAACATATTCCCATCGAATCTAATTCATATGAATCTATAAACGTAATATAATTCTTCTATATTTTAGTGAACTATTTAGTTCACTACTCTCTCTCTCTCTCTCTCTCTCTCTCTCAGTTTCCTATAAATAACCTGTTTTTTTGTTTTTCATTTTGGCAAATAAAAAGAAAGGATGCTGGTTCTAATTTCAGGCCCTACATAGTGCACGCATAATATTAGACGAAAGCTTTAGTAGCCAACGGCTACTTTTGTTTTGTCTAATTAGCTTCAAACTTATTTTCAAAGCTCTGCATAAGAACTTAATGAATACGTGTTTCAGCGATTTGGGAAATTCCACCCACAACAGAAGTTTTTGTGAACCATCCGATCTTCAAAATCATTTTCGAAGATCTTTGTGAGAATTTATTGAATAGGTGGCACGGGCAAGGCCGGGATATACCTGCTAGCATCCTATATAGACATAGGTCAACATTTGCCACTCCCATAACTTTGACCGAATTTCAAGTCTAACCGTCTGACGTAACTGACCGTCTAAATTTGGCAACATTCTTCTTGCTTATATGTTTTTTCCGATTTGCATAAAACTTATTTTCAAAGCTCTACATAGCAACTTTTTGTATATGTGTTTTGGGAAATTTCGCACGCAACCGTGGTAAATTGGCGGAAAACAGTTGTATGCAAGTTTTTTGTTTACCGTGCGATCGGTTTCAAACTTATTTCCAAAGATCTTTGAGAGAATTTATTTTATGCGTACCACGGGCAAGGCCGATGTATACCCGCTAGTAGAATATAAAGAAGATAGGGCAAAAGAGATAGTGATGGACCCGGGCTTTGTTGTCTTTGTTTTTGACTACAGTCTCGCAATTTCCGAACATAACCTAGTTTTAGGTGCCTCATCAGTTTTGTCGATCTATTTCTATTTTTCTGCTCGACTAGCACATTATACGTGTTTGGAGACAGTTTCAAATATAATTGTTATAATTAGCTTTTGGTAATATAATATCCTTGCAAGATGCACAAATGTTCGTCTTAGTTATTTTATTTTACCACAATTAACGGGTCTAGCCATAGTTAATATATTCACATGCATACACATAGATAAGTATTTATACACTTCGGAGCTAGCAATCATGAGCTGGTCTTAGTCTAATCCACAACGGAATGCAGTGCCATGTCCATGTCATTTAGTTGTTTTCGGGTTTCTTGCAGTAGTAGTTGAGTTCCTCAATGGTGCACGATTTGCGGCAGCATTCGTCGTGCACGCCGTAGCGTCGGCGTCGTGTTTTCACCAGGTGATGGCCGCTCTCACCCAGCAGGGCGCGCAGCAAGGGCTGCGACTGCAGATCCAGATCCGCGTACGAGCCTAGATCCAAGTCCGCGTCCGCATCCGAATTCTCATTATCGATGCCATTAAAAGACTGCCGCACTGCCAACACCCAATTTGAAGTGCTTGAGTTGGATTACGTTCCAGTGGCAGGGCCAGGGGCAAAACACTTACCATAGGAGCGCTTCATCTTGGTGTTGTAGCCATACATACACATCTGCTCCAGCATTTCGGGCAGCTCGGTGCCGCACAGCCGCATCGACTGCACGTGCAGCACCAGCAGCAGCAGCAGCGCCACGCTGCAGATTATACCATGCAATTTGGAGCACTTGAAGCCCATGGCGAAGCCCAGTTACGACCAACTCGTATCGGCCACGTCAATAAACAGACCACAACTGTGCCCTGCCAGGCGGCACAGCAGCGTTTTATATGTTAACCAAACGCTGGCGCGGATCCGCTGCAGCCATCTCCACTGAGCACACTGTCAGGCGGCGTTAGGTGAAGTGTCAGTTGGTCGGGGACTACCCATAGCCTTGGCTGGCTATGTGTGGGAGGCTTTTACTCATATCAGCTGACGTCTTTGTTTATGTTTTTCCGTCAAATAATAATTACGCGCAGATCGCAGACTGTGGAAAAACAAACTGAAGTGTGCCCCGCCCCATCCCCTGTTGCACCTTGCTATGCCCTGCTTTTCGCTTAATGTTGTTTACCTATGCTCTAGCAGAGGGCATTAAAGTTTTTCTGAAAACAAGTTAAAGTGCTCTTTTCGGAAATGCGCGACTAGGAGATGCCCTAAGCTGCTTTTGCAGTAAAAATTCCTTCTATAAATCATGCTGTGTTGCTTCCGTTTACCCGAGAAATAATTTCGGTATTTAAAGTCTGATCTTATTAGCCCCAATCTACCTTTAAGATATCTCTGCGAATGTGGGGTGGGGTAGGGTACACGAAACCTACCTACCACCAAGTTTTATGTATCTAACTATTAAAACCGATATATATCGATATAATACAAATGGTACGGGAGATCTTTCTCAGATCGCAGCAAATCTTCTACCTTCTGATTGTTACATACATTTGCACGAAATGATTATACCCTTCTACACATTTTCAATGGGATCAGGGTATATCGAGTACACTGACTACATAGCTTATACAGATCCAAAGTAAACAACTAAAATGTACTTGATTATAACCAAACAAAAGCAAATTTCTATCTTAAGTTTTGTCTAATTAAAATAGTTAACAGCCTGTTCTTAAAATAGACGCTGGCATAAACATAGCAAGCAGCTTAACATGGCATAGCTCTAATGCACAACAGCGAACTGTTCTGTTATTAACAGAGTCCGCTGTGTTATGTGTAAATTGAAGTAATAAATAATAAAAACTGAATGTTTATTAAAACTGCACTCAGTCTGCCATTGTTAGAGTATAAAGAATTCAACGTAAGTCCTTTGTCAGCCTGTTGTTCTTTCAAAAACACAACGTCATCTAATTAAAAATTCAAAATTTTCATTATTGTTCCGAGAATGCAAGGGCATAGAATTCCCATTGACGTGGAAATGGGGGGAATGTGCCCGCCCGCTCGGCTGGTGGGCCAATTCGAGCGGGAGGCGTTCTTTGGGCCAGAAGATGCCTTTTGTTTGTTGCTATTGTTATCGAGTAACTTTATTGCTTCCATGAAATATTACAATAAAACATTGCGAAATTATAATTAAAAGTATATTTTTTGGGGGGGTGGGATTAAATGTAGTTGAATGAATTCGCAAAAGTCGATTCGCTTTTGGTTCGTCGTGTCAGAGTTGCCCGCCAGCCAGCCATACCATGTCCAATCGATTGGTTGCCCCGCTAGGCGCAGTATTCCAGGATGTCGTCGTAGCTGCAGCCCTGTTTGCAGCACTCGTGCGTTATCCTGCGACGTGGGCGTCGCAGCTCACGTGTAGCGCCGTCAGGCTCATTGATTAGGTGGCGGTCCTCCAGTCCTCCAGCCGGTACCGGTTGATCGGTGGTTCCATCCAGTTGTTGCCTCAGTGCCAGGAGATGCCATTTGCGCCGCAGCGCCTGCTCGGGAGTCCGGGGGCTACGGTCCGCTTGAAAGCTGAATGTGAGTAGGCAGAATATTGTATGGTATGGGGCGTTGTCCACTTACAATCGCGTTTGATTCTGCGTGAAAATCCATTAACACATATCAGGTCAAGGGCCTCGTTGAGTGCGTCGCCGCACAGCTTCTTCCTGCCGTCGACCTGCTGCCACAGCTGCGACATGGCGACCAGCAGCAGCAGCGCCAGACTGAAACGCAAACTCATCTTGCTGTCATACAAATCCCGATCGCCAGTCTCCAGTCTTCTTCCAGTTTTAGTTCCACTTCCAGTTCCAGTCTCGGTCCCACTCTCTCACTAACCGGACGGTTGCGTATCCTTTTTCCTGTCGCTCGACTCGCGGCTCGACTCAGGCTCTCGCTTACAAATTGATCAGTGCGCATGCCAACGCCAACTGATTTGTGGACTCGCCGATGATCACCACAAAGGCTCGCCGTCGCAATCAAGTGTGACTTCTTGACTTCTGCCAGGTAGAGACGGTAGTCGGTGTCGCGGGTCGCGGTTCGGTCGGGTCAGTTGGGTCAATTGCAGGCAAATCTTTTGCGCCGGGTTTTTACAGCCAGCCGGCCAGCATGGCCTTTCCCGTTCAGGAATTGCCCAACGGGCTGCCCCTTTAATCCGCAGCCTCTAATTTTCTCTGACTCTCCACTGCATTTACAGGCTACTTCTGGCACATCAGCGACCTGCATCTGGACACACATTACTCCACACAGGGCGATATCTACAAAAGCTGCTGGCAGCTGGCGCACACCAGCGCCTCCGTCGCCTCCAATGGGCGCCAGGAGACGGAGACAGAGTCGCCGGGTCCGTTTGGCAACCACAACTGCGATAGTCCCTGGAGTCTCGTCGAGTCAGCGGTCAAGACCATGAAGGCCAAGCAGGGCGACAATGTGGAGTTTGTGCTCTGGACCGGCGACGCCCTCTCGCACTCCGCTCAGGCACGCTCCGAGCATGTGCAGCTCGAGACATTGCGCAACATCACCGAACTGCTGGGACGCAGCTTCTCCTCGCCCTTCATATTCCCCGTGCTGGGCCACGAGGACGGCAGCAGCGGCCTCCACAAGTACAAACAAATGGGCGAACTCTGGCGCCACTGGCTGCCCACAGAGGCACTCGTCACGTTCGAGCAGGGCGGCTACTATTCCATCGAGCAAACCAAAAGCCGTCTCCGCATCATTGCCCTGAACACCAACTTTATGCGATACGAGCTCCTCTCCGAGGCCAAGCAGTCGGACAGCCTGCGCTGGTCGGCTGACTACTATGTGAAGCCCAGTCGCACAATGTCCGGCCAGGATCAACTGCAGGCCGAGCAACAGTGGCTGTGGCTGGATGAGGTGCTGGCCAAGTCGAGGGACAAACAGGAAACGGTAGGCAGACAAATGATTTGTCATACAATTCAACGGGTATACATATATTGGAAAAGGTAGGAAACATCTGGTTAGCTCAGAATGAACATTAATTATTTTCCAGGACAACGTGTCGATATGTCCGTCTATAATATCAGAGAATATTTTGTATTTAGATAATGTTTTTCAAATGTAGGTAACAGGCAGAAGGAAGCATCTCCGACCCTATAAACTAAATCAAAAGCCGAGACAATCTAGACATGTCTGTCTATCTGGCCATCCGTCTGTCCGTATCTATTAAGGTGTCGTGTTGCTTCTGGACTAGAGTAGTATATACGGATCCAGTATCGTTATTTTAATGCTAGATACCTTTTTATAATCTATTAAAAAATCTACTAAATAAAGGGTATCCCCTAGTCGGGCACTCCTGACTAGTTAACTGTTACTTGATTTATGTTTATTTTAGGTTACTATTTTAAAAAAGACTACACTCACATATATCATATGCAGAGTGCGGTTATTTTTTCGATAACTTCACTCGATTTCCCAAAATCGATCAATATCGATTTTCAACAATCGGGTTGGAAGCCAAATAATACATTTATTTTAATTATTATATAAATTAAAAAGTTTCGAAATTTTTGGTAACTTCCAAGTCGGGCAAAACCGAAAGGTCCTTCATTTTTTAGCTTAAGACTTTTTCTCTTATTTTATTTTTCTGAATTACACCTTTTAGTATTATTTTAATTTGAATTCGAATGGAAAAACATTTATATTAAATTTAATCAATCAAGTACAAGTGTTGGGTAGTTATTATTTATATTTTTTTTTTCGCGCGATTCCCGATTAAATGTGCTGCATTCGACCTATTATTATTTGTTCTATGTGCACACCCTAGTTTTCTGTTGTTCTTTTACCTAAATTTGATGAGTTTGGGGAATACAAGACATATACATATATACTCTAAGCTTGTTTATCTTGCCAACGCTTGTTCGATGAAGGTGTACATAGTCGGACACATGCCGCCGGGCGTGGATGAGCGCTACGTGGGACCGCAGCATCGTGGCCAGCTGATCTTCACGGAACGCAACAATAGACGCTATCTGGAGCTGGTGCGCAAGCATGCCTCGGTCATCCAGGGCCAGTTCTTTGGGCATCTGCACTCGGACACCTTTCGGCTAATCTACGATGATCAGGGTACGTGTGAGCAGGTCAAACCAATCCTATAGTGAATAGCATATGAAACCTTGCTTATGCGCAGGCACGCCGATTTCGTGGCTGATGATAGCGCCGTCGGTGGTGCCGCGCAAGGAGGGTATTGGCGCCTCCAATAATCCAGCGCTGCGTCTATACAAGTTCGACACGGGCAGCGGCCAGGTGCTGGACTATACGCAATATTGGCTGGACTTGTCGCTGGCCAATCGCGCCAACGAGCCTCTCTGGCAGTCCGAGTACAATCTGACGCATTATTATGCGCTCGGCGACATTTCGGCCATAACGCTGCACAACTTTGCGGAGCGTTTCACCGGCAAGGATGCCTCTTGGTTTAGCAGGTAGCCAGCCCAACCAGGCGCAACTCTCTGCTGCTTCACAGATGCTTAGCTGTTTGCCTCGGTCTAATTGCAGATATCATCGCGCCAATGCCGTCAGATTTCAGTCCGGCACCGCCTGTCTGGGCCGTTGCATGCTCAATCATTATTGCGCAATCACGCGCCTGGACTACGACGAGTTCCGGCTGTGTCTGGAGTCGGAGCAGCTGCCGTTGCAGAGTCATGCGGCCGTTGCCGTGCTCAGCAGCTGCAGCTGTGCCCTGCTCTCGCTGCTCCTGGCGCTCAGCTTCCTCTGCTGCTTTCGGGAGTACAGTCTGAACTGGCTGCTGCGGCTGATCGAGCCGGGCGTGTTGCCCCCAAGGCCGTACACCAACAACAGCAACCCCAACCCAGCGAATTTATAAGTAAACGATTTACGAGTTTAGCCAGACAGGATGACCTTTGGCATCAACTGGGCCCCTCCCCCCATCTTAAGCTGGATGCAGGCGCACTCTTCCTATTCAAATATCGCGCTATTTAAATCTCTCAACTTATGCTGTCCGTGTGTGTGTGTTTGCTTGTGCATGTGTGTGTTCGTGTCTGTGTGTGCATGTGTGCGTCTGTATGCCAGCCATATCATATGTGTGTGTGATAAAATTCGTCTATTATTATGAATACTATTAAATGTATATGAAAATAAACGCAAATTATTAATGTTAACTCGGCTTTATTTTCGATAAATATTTAAGCAACAAATTGTGGCATAAATAAATGTGTTAATTTGCGCAAGCAACTCGGCAGTTAAATAAACGCTATGGGGCAAGGGACGGGTCGCGGGCCCGGGCACAGGCATGCCTTTCTTTTTATGGGCAACTCCATTAAACTGCAAAAACCGCAGCGTCCATATTAAAACAGTGGCCATGCGGCAAGTGTGGCAAGTGCGGCAGCCGTGGCAGTGGCAAAGACAATTCGAAGCCAAGCCGTGCGGCAGTCATCGGGCAGGCCGCTGACATACACACATCATGAGTAATGCATGAGTTGCCACCGAAATGAATGCCAAGCTTGTTGCATGCCACAGCCTCAGCAGCGACAGCCTCCGCCTCAATTTGCCCAACCGCTGCATGCGTGACACTCGCTACGTGCTGGCCAAGTAAATTATTGGTGCAAATCTACGATAACATTTGATATTGGCGAAAATGTTCAACCTGCTTTTACTACCCCCGCACCCCCCACCTCCCCTGAATCCACCCACTACCTGCTCCAGGGGGCTGCTGGTTTATTGCTGTTCCTGTTGCCGTTGCATACTTTCGGGCGTTTCGGTTTATCAGGCTCATCAAAGTTGCAGCTGCAACAGCTGCAAGAGCGGCAACTGCAGCTGACACTGCAACACCCGCAGTCATTAAAGTTTATTAAGAAATTTGAGAAACTCTTAGTCAATCTTAGATTCGCACCCCTTGACAATTCGCACACGCTGCCGCCCCCCTGGACAAACTGTTTTTTGGTTTTTGCGGCTTCTGCAATTTGCCAAAGTTTCCCCCTCAGCACTTGGATTGGATTCGCTTTTGGGGTTACGCTATATGGTTTCCCCACCATATTTACCCATCCATTTAGCTTCTGCGCACAGACGATAGTCCAAAAATTATATATATTTAATAAAAAACGCTCACAAAACTAAGCAAATTCTTATCAACTTTGCTCGCACTGAAGCAACTGCTAGAAGTGCGCGACGGTGTAATACCCTGTAAGCAGGGACTTTGTCAAACGTATTGATGTGTACGATAGATTAATTATCCATTTTTTTTTGGGATATGGAGATATCATGCATAAATTTATAATACGAAAATTTACTTAGGATAATGCGCTGTGACCATCAATTAATGTACGCACGACATAGAAATAGCTCCTGATGTATAAAGTATTAAGGAAAATTCTGACCCAGAAAACTCCGGATAATTCATGGTTTGTATGTGTATATGAATGTATGTACATATGAATGTATTTTTTTGTACATATATATGTGTGAATATTCGCTACATCAAGCGCAGGCCATGTTTATTTTAGTTGCTTTGCAACTTTAAAAGAAAGATATTTTAATTGCTTTCTTCCGCGATTCTCAGGAAATCATGTAGGCCTTGTTTGGAACGGTAGCTTCAACGGTGGAGAATAATGTTGCCAGATTTAGATGCCAAATTTATCTAGAAGACAAACCATGAACAAATACCCAAGCCTCTTGAAAATCGGGTGAAATTTGACCAAGTTATAGGGATGAGTAATGTTGACCAATGTCTAAATAGGATATTTAAGGGTACGATTTGTACATGAATTTCAACAAAAAATAATGTTGTCAGATTTAGATGGCAAATTGATCTAAATGCCAAACCAGAAATAAAGACCCAAACCTCGTGTAATTCGGATGAGATTTGATTTAATTATTATTGAAAATGGGTAAAAGGGGTATAATGTATTTGTGCAAATGTATGTAACAGACAGAAGGAAGCATCTCCGACCCTATAAAGTATATACATATATTCTTGATCAGCATCAATTGTTTTTGATTCAATTTGGATAAATAATAAGAGCTAGAGTCACCAAATTGATATGTTGCTTCTAGAATAGTATACATATCAAGTCTCTTTCATTTTATAGCTATCGCTATCTCCCAGCTACCACCACAAAGCTATAAATCAAGTTAATAAGCCACCAATTTAAGCCACAATTGAAATGCAATTAACTTTTTGAGAATACACGACTATTTTATAGTACAATAAGATGTACTACTAAAAACATGTACATGTACATGTACATGCGCGTCCGCTTCGAATTCTATCAACAGCATTGCAATTGCGATTGTATAGTTTTCTGTGCTACTATTTTAATTCGTTTTTTTCTCAGAAAGGATTAATAATTAGTGTAGCTGTTGGGTAGAGGCGGCGACAAGTAGCGTGGTCTGATGCGAGTTCGAACCCTACCGAGGAAACTATTTTTTTGTTATTTGGCTGGTGTGGCTGTTGAGTAGAGGCGGCAGCAAATAATGTGGTCAGTTGAGAGTTCAAACCCTGCCAAGGGAACTTTTTTGTTAAATTTATCTTTATTTCTACTAAAGCAAAAGAGCGCGTAGCGCGAACTGCATTAGGTGTTGGAAGAAGAGGTTCAGGGTATCCCCTAGTCGGGAGCTCCCGACTAGAACCTCTTACTTGTTATTTATTTTTCAATCAAATTACAGTCAAGTGTTCAAGAACTTTGCTCGGTCTTAGCTATTTCATTTTTGATACCGCTGAGAAAAGCTTGAATATTATATTTGCCCGATTCGCTGGCCACAAAGTGTGTTAGGGTGTACTTCCCGTTCTCATACAGCGTCAGCCCCTCACCCAACTGTTGCTTACTGAAGTCTCCAGAACTCTCGACCTCTGCAAGATCTGCCTGAATTGCTGTCAAGCAAACGGGTCGGACCAGAGCACCTAGTTTAAAGGGTTTAACCAAAGTAACTAAAGCTGTCTTCTGCCCCGTGATGCTGTAATATATTAGAAATTAAAGTAAAGATCAGTATATGCATACCTCAAAGCTATTTCCTTTAATACTTACAGCGCGACCAAATTTATATCCAAAATGTTGTGTAGAATATAGCCATGTTCCTCATTCTGATTGAAGTCGACATTGTGATTGCCCTCAGCGATGGTGTATTCAATATGTGAATGTCTTTCAGACATATTCGAAAAGCAGTCCGCTGCCGTAATTACAATATACGGTGTTAGTATGGTGCCCAAGCATCTGAAGTTATAGTTCGGCTGGACTCTTGAGCTGCGCTGAAAGATGCTCACAGACCAGGGAGTGGTGTCGGGATGTTGCGGAGATTTGACACCACAGACGGGCTCACAAGTTGGATTGGCCTCTTCAACAACCCACACGCCATCCTCATTGCAGCTGTGTCGACCCAATTGATTGGCATGCGATTTGGCCCTAAAGCCTGGCCCACAAGTTACCAACAATTTGGTGTCCTTCATGAGCGCATTTTGTTTGCAATCCAAAACATCCCTATTGGAAACGCACTGCGTCGCATAGCTGATGTTGCGTACAATCGGGCTTTGACCGCAGACACGAATGCAGACTGAGGGGAGTGAATCAGATCCCATCCACTTGCCGTTCTCGCATTTATTGATACTGGATCCAAGAATCTCGTAGCCGCTTTCACAAGTCAGGGACACAATGGTTTGGTCCGGCACCTCGTCATCTGGCCTGAACGTAAATTGTGAAAAGTATTCCTCCACTCGCATAGCCTTTACGGTCTTCAAGGGGCAAGAGTGGGTCCACCAGACGTAGGGGGCTGGCGCATACTCCGCATCAGTTGGATCAAATAAGACTGTGTTAGGTTGTGGTTCCTTCTTGAGGCATACTTCGGGTATTTCGTCGCTTGCATCGGGACAGTCGATAATCCGATTGCAGAGACCGTTTCCATTGATGCAGGCGCCAGTCTCGCAGCGAAACGAACCGAGGGGACATATGCTGGCTCCGCACACATCCGGATACTCGTCGTCACCGTTGGGACAATCCCTATGGCCATCGCACAATTGACTCCACTTCAGGCACCTGTCGTCATCCTTGCATTGCAGTGCATAAAAGTCGCTATACAGAGACTTGTTATATCATGTCTGTCGCTATCTAATCTGAACCCAAGTCTCACCTGCAGCTACCTGTCAATTTGGCTAGCAATTTGTCCATGCTTTCCCCATACGCACACAAATATTTATTTTCATCGCTTTTATCCCAACAATCGTAGTCCCCATTGCATGTCTGCTGCTCGGGCACACAGCCGCCGTAGCAGCAGCGAAAGAAATTCTCTCCACAGGTTGTGTTATAGCAGGTATTGAAGATCTCATCGCTGCCGTCTGCGCAATTCTTGACACCGTCGCACTTCAGTGTGCCATTAATGCAGTCGCCATTCTGGCACGCAAATTGATCTGAAGTGCACGTACTCAGCGGTCCGGCTGCAACTGTTCAGGGAGAAGTAATTCTCTTTTTATAAAAAACCTTATAATATGTTAATTAAATGCAACCACTTCATGGTCAAACGGTGACTGTGTAGGGAGAAGCAAGCGATAAGCAAGGCTTTCGTGCATCTCATATTTTTAGTTAGTTAGATATATATATATACATATATATATATTATTATATAATAGTATAACAGTAAACTGATTAAATGCGAATACTCAATGGCCCCACTGTAACTCTTAAGAGAGAAGCAAGCGATAAGTTATCCTTTTCGTATGATCCACATCTGTATCCAAGTACATTTTTATTTTATACAAGTCTTTCGAAAGACAAGTCAAACGAAAGACCTTTCAAGACCTGAACATTAACTCAAAAATGTAATCGTATAATCCACATTTCAAAATTCTCAAAAAATCGCACAGAAGCTAAGTCGCTTTATTAGATAATATCTGTTTTCATTACGGTTTGCCGGCAAGCAAATATGTAAAGAGAAAAGCTTAGTTTGGGGAGATAACTTGAAGAAACAGAAAACTTGTTCACACGAATTACGAACCTAATTTTCGATCGTTATTTCATATGGCAGCTTTATGTTATAGCAGGACGGACCTACGCAAAATTTTGGGTAGATAGCTTTAGAATTGAAAGACAAGTTCGAATACAAAGAGACGGAGAGACAAGCATATATATACCATATGGGTTCGGAGATGTGTCCTTCTATGCGCTACACGTTTGAAGACAACATTTTAATATGCTCTACCAGGGATAAGCATTGATTTTTTATCCAAAATTCAAATCGAATCATAATGACAAAAGTATATTTTTACTTACCTAGTGCAAATGCTGCCAACACTGTTACAATGACTGATAACATTATTCAGTAATATATATGCATGTATATATATATACATAAAAACTGATAAGGTCTACGATTAATAAAAACGTATCAAGCACCCCCGGTTTTAAAGACGCACAGCTCGCTTCAAGCTGTCTACATCGACTGATCAGTTTGAAACTGCAATCTGAAGCTTTTCAAAAATATTTTATTGGAATTGAAAGCGAGTTCAATGATTAAACACAAGATGGCGGTATGCATGATCCCAAAGAGCATCTTAATTTAGGATCTAGAATGTGTTCTATGATAAAAACCTTTAATAACATGACTGTATATTGCAAATAATATCTGCGCTAAAATGATTTGTTGCCCTTCTCCGCGATTCTCATGAATTAAAGTAGGTGCTGCAAGTATTCATGCTTTCATAATAAGTGAAGTTTTATAATAAAAAGTGTAATAGCAACCTACTGAAATTGAGTTGAGTCTGCTTAGAGCTGCGCTTCAATTTAAAAGCAACGAATTTCTTAATGCTCTCCTCCTCGATTCTCATGAATTCAAGTAGGCCTTGCTGATATTCGACAAGTCAGTCAGTTGGCTCCAGCGGCCGGTGGAGGAGGCGGTGGACCAGGAGGCGGAGGGCAGGTATGTAGATAAGTAGACTCGTATGTATGTAGATGTATGTATGTAGATGCATGTAAGTATATATGTTTATATGTATATATGTTTATATGTATATATGTATATATGTATATATGTATATATGTATATATGTATATATGTATATATGTATATATGTATATATGTATATATGTATATATGTATATATGTATATATGTATATATGTATATATGTATATATGTATATATGTATATATGTATATATGTATATATGTATATATGTATATATGTATATATGTATATATGTATATATGTATATATGTATATATGTATATATGTATATATGTATATATGTATATATGTATATATGTATATATGTATATATGTATATATGTATGTATATATGTATGTATGTATTTAATGATTATGATAGTTGTGATAATGATAGTTATGGTAATGATAATTATGAAGATAATTATCATTATGATAATGATAATTATCATAATGATTTTGATGATAATGATAATTTTCACAATAATAATTATGTTAATGATAATTTTCATAATGATGATTATGTTAATGATAATTATCATATTGATTATTATGTTGATGATAATCATCATAATGATTATTATGTTTATGATAATTATTATAATGATTATGATGATATTGATAAGTTACACAATGATAATTATGTTAATGATAATTTTCATAATGATTATGATGATAATGATAATTATGATAATTTTCATAATGATTATTATGATAATGATGATGATAGTGATCATTATGGCTTGGCGGCAACAATTCTCAAGGTGGCAATGGAGGCAACTGAGAAGCATGGTCTAAGTATTTTCTGGTTCGTGCCCAAAGCTGGCGTAACATATACATATCTGCTTCTGGTATTACTATAGAAAAAACAGCCCAATCACCAAACTTTTGGCAACAGGGTATAGGAACACAGTAACTATAACTATGGATAATAAGTATATCCATAAGTGTTTATAAGCTGCTTATGTGTGGTGTGAGAGTGCGTGTATGTTTGCTGTGTTCTTGTTATTGTTGTTGTTTGTATTTTCTCTAGATTTCAGCTTCCACACTTTGGCATGCATATATAAACACTCACCTGTTTGGCTCTGTGGCTCTGCCAGCAGGTAGCTGCCAGGTGCTCAATATGCTCATAGAAGGCCACATCCATTTGCAGTGGGATCGGGAAGCTGCTTGGGAACGGGTAAAAGACTGCGACTGGGCATGTGAAAAAAAGGCATATAAATATTTGTACATTATGGCAAAGTATAGTCTGCCTTGCCTCTGCTGCACCTGCCACAGCCAATGCTTTGGCCTCTTGTTCTGCTTATGCTGATGCCACATGAGCAAAACAATTTCAATTCTAATGTCCCATTAATCATTCACAAACATTAAGCATATATTTGTATATTTTTTCGCCTGGCTTTCTAGCGTGAAATACTAAAATGTAATTTCAAGCAGCTTAGTTGGCTGTCAGGTGCTCTCTGAATAGCTTTTTCTCTGCTGGCTGGCTCTGCTGGTGGGATTGATCACCTGACATGATGCTATTGAGTGCCAGCCATGAATTCGCAGCACACTTTCGTTCGCCCCGACGGCTCGGACAGGTATATCAGGCATTTCGAATGCACTAATTGCTGCGCTTGACCGCACTGCATAAAACCCATAAACACCGAAATATATCTCTAGTTGTGTGAAATGCGCTTCATTTAACCAGAAAAACAACAATTACAACTTGTATTCGCTCAGCGAGCAGCAAATATACAAAATTCCAAAAATATATAAACACATAAAACTTAAATATACGAGACGAGGAAGGTGAAAAGAAAAACTAACTAGACAAGGCAATGGACGTAGGTAGCTCGAATACCAGATACCCTGGAAAATCAAGCTGTCAGTTGATTATTAGCTTCATAATTAATGGGAATATTATTTCTGCTTAAAATCTAAATTCTGAAAACAGTGTCCTTTCTTTAAGAAACTAACAGAAAACCAGGATTGCAAACGGCTTAACTTTGCTTTTTCATATATTTTACAAATTTTAATATTAATTTTACTAATTTAAATTTCATATTATTAGTAAAATTGGAATTCATTATTCAAAAAATATTGCTTGTCTATTTGATATATTTGATTTCTACCCAAAATTGGAGTCTACCAAATATGGTTAGATTATTCCATTATTATTAGTGCCCAAAAAGTTTACTATTTTGTATAAAAGAGTTTTTGACACATTAATAATGATTCGGCTTTGAAAGTTGGAAGTCCGAGCAGCTCCTTCAGATCAAGCCCAAATAAGAAGATAATTAAATAAATTTGATTGGAAATGGTTTTCAGACCATTTCGATTTTCGCTATAACTTTGCGCTGCGGATAGTGTATAAAAATTAGTTTTAAAATCGCTCTCCAAAGGCCAAAAATAAATATTGAATATTTAAAAAAGAACGCATTTGAATACATATGTTTTCGCTAGGTAACATACATATAGCGGTTCGTTATAGTGTAGTTAATTAGCTGATGACTATGACTGTGTGTGTAAACGGCTGTGTGTGTGAACCGGTGTGTGTGTGTGTGTGTGTGTGTCTGACTAATATTTATTGCTGTGTGCAGCCTCTTTACGTGGAGGTTGTATCAAAATACGCGATTAGCCAGGCCGACAGGCGAATTTATAAGCTTGTGTGTGGGCGATTGGACCATAGGTATAAGTACTAAGTAGATATATATTTTGTATCTGAATCTTGTAGCTTGGCGTGTGTCTGAGTGTATGTGTGTGTGTGTGTCATAGCTTTCCATTTTCCATGAAACCACAAGAGCAGTAGCAGCAGCCACTTTTCGCTGCTTTAGCGAACTTTTTGGATGAAACGACTTGTGGCAAATGTTGAATGTTGTTGTTGTTGTTGTTGTTGTTGTTGCTGCTGCTGCTGCTGCTGCCGCTGCTGCTGTTGATGGCATATGAAAATACGAACGGTGGAAAAGCGAGCAGCGAGTAACAATTATAATTCGCATCGCGAACGTGGTCACCTCAACCAACAGGCTGTCAGAATCCGTAGTCGTAGCCGTAGTCGCTGACAGTGCACAGCGCCACAATTGCAGGTGTGTGCGCCGAGCGTGTGTGTGCGTGCGGGTGTGTGTGTGTGCTCCTCTGTGTATGTGCGAGTGCATTGTGCATTGTGCATTTGTGCATTGTTATTGTTATTGTGGGGCGAACGTGAAAACCTGACGTCGCCAACAAGCCAAAATTTATATGATATGAGACAACGATACCACAATGCGCGTGTGTGCAATCAAAATTTAATTAAATTGAAAACGAGAATGCAAAAAAAAATGAAATATATATACATATATAAAAAAACGTACCCCATAAAATTGGCCACACAGCTAATTAGCATTTAAAGCGCAATTAGCAATTGAATACAAATTGGCCAACCACTCAAGCAAAAATCATGAAAAACAACCGAAAACTGCATAAAGAAATTCTCAAATAATATAAAAAATAGATAAAAGATACATATGTATATATATATATATATAAAGCAGACTGCAAAACAATTAAATGACATTTTACGAGTTTTTTATTCTATTTGTGTCAAAGCTGCAATAGAAAAAACACGATTTAAAAATTTGTGTCGCGCTGACATCAACGTCGTGAACGTGGACCCAAAAAAGCAAAGAATAAAAAATAAATAAATAAATAAAGTAAAGAATTGAACTCAAAAATAGAATATTTGAGACGTGTTTCTTTTACTCGTGGAGCTGCCGAGGCGCAGCACTAAAAATTCTGTAATAGTCCACGAGGCCACAGCACACACACACACTCGCACACACACGCAAAGATACATATACATAGATATAGATACATATGTATCTATATATCTTTCCTTTGACTGTCGCTGAATGCAGCATCTCTGCCTCGGGTCCATCGACGGACTGACGTTCTGTTTCTTCATATCTTTTTTTTTGTTCAAACATATTTTCCTTTTCATATTTCATTTGTGCTTGTTTTTGTTTTTTGTTTTGTATTTATTTATTTTGTGGGCTATTCCCAAAACTACTTTGAGTGTCTCGAGTGTTGTTCTAGCTCTTGTTGTTGTTGTTGCTGTTGTTTTTGCAGAGAGTGGCAAAAAATATACTTGGATATGTGTCTGTGTGTGGCAAAACAACAGTAGCGTTCGCCACAAGTTGCACTGCAAGTCAATGGGGAAATAAATCAATTTATTAGCTCTACATACCACTTATTAGTCAGAGAGGCTTCACAAGCTAACCCTTGAGGAAGAATAGATTTGAGTCACTTTCGCTATATGTAGGCAGACTGTTTTATCTTAAAATATTCATCAGGCTTTTTTTGACAACAAGCCAAAATTATTCAATCTGATTTATTTAGGGGGCTATCTTTTTAATTACCTACAACAAGGCAGATATATGACATCAAAGTTTCAAACATATTCAAAATCACATGACAAAAGTTTTTATTAAACTAAAATCATTGTCATAATTTCAAAATGTTTAAGTTTGT